GCGGCGAGGAAACCGCGATAAAGCCGTCGCCAACATTGTGTCTCTGGTCGGATGTAAAAATAAAAGGAAGCAGACGCGTGTCTCAAGGCTAACAGACCGCGTATTACTCCTCTCAGGAGCGTAGAATCGTACGCTCGACTCCCTCTCGGCTCGTCTTACTCGGCAAGGTATTCAATTACACCGATATTTGTCAATCGAGGTTCGTACACTCCTCTACTCTCTTTCCTCATACCGCTAAGTTTCATCTTCCGCTTTGATCTCCCGACGATCTCGACGGATTTTTCCGAGATCCGCTACCGATCCGTGATCATCATTGCCTGTCGCTTGTTTCAATAACGATTAGTGACAGTGGAAATTGACAGTTGGTTTCTGTCAATTTTCATTTTCCCGCGACGGGAGCGAAGACGATCGCGAAAATCGCGTGAGACTCGCGGTATCGATTCAATCATATTTTTATCGCGCGACCGAGGGACTAAATTAAATACGAATCGCCGCTCCCGTTATTTCCTGCGACTCTCTCTCTCTTTCTTTCTCTCGTCTGTCGCTTTCGTTCTCCTACAAACTGTCGTGGATTTATCGCGCCGGAATTTTCGCAAGAAGTTTCGTGAAGGAAAAGAGGGTGGACCACTGGGGAATTCCGGCGTGTAGAATCGATGTATTAGTTATTACGTAACTTTTCTTCATCCTCGCCGCGAGCAGTGAGTTTGAGTGTGAGTTACCCCGAGACATCCTGTATGTTGCGTGTGTGGGCGGATGTGTGTGCGAGCGAGTTACGTAGAAGGTCTGTTTTTTTATTGATAGTGCGACGATCAAACACGGACGTGCGCGAGCGGTGTAATGGAAGGGCGAGAGGAAGGAAGGAAAGGAGGCTCAAGAGAGAGAGAGAGAGTTCGGGGGAAAGCCCGTCGAGAATTTCCAAATGCACTAGCATACCGACGGGAAATCCGCCGTATTTATAACGGCCGCGCACGTACTATCTCTCTCTCTCTCTCTCTCTCTCTCCGTTCTCTCCTTCGACTGGCGGCGATGAATAACTGATGCCATATCCAATCAGTAAATGGAATCCGCGGCTGAGGCCGGGGCGAGAGAGAGGGAGGGAAGGCTAGCTCTCTCCGCTCCGCTAACAAGAATTTAAGACGCGAGTTTCGGGGCAAATCTCGCCCTCCTGCCCCGCCGGATGTTTCCGTGTATTAACGAAAAACGCACAGGACGGCGCGGGATATCGCGACGATCCTGATGCGAAGCGACGGGGATGATCGGTGATCGCGTCGGAGCGCATTTAATCGCTGATTAATCACGATTGATCGATCCGTGTCTCGGAATCGTCCGTGACGTAGCGTCATCGAGGTGAAAAGGCATGATAAGCCGTTTGTTGCGTCCACGCAGGTGAATTGTGAGATTTATTATTTGTGATTTTTTTCAACAGCGCGTACATCTGTCTCTGTCATTATGCCGAGCGCGAAATTATAAAACTCACCCGTGCGGCTCAGCTATGTTAACTTATTAGCCGACGAATTCAGCGGTTAATATTTCACGCGCGCATTTCATATGAATAACGCGAGAGGTCCACGCGAGTTCACTAACGCGAGAGAAGGGGACAGATATCTCTCTCCCTCTCCAATTCTCCATGGACGGAAGTTACTTCGCAAGACTGCAACGCCACGAGGTACGAAGGTCCTCGTATGCCCGGAAATTAATTGTTCGGGATTTGAGCGCGAGTCGCCACATCGGCGAAGGGACAATTCTAATTTGCACTCGGATTTCAGTTGATTTTCTTCTGATTATCAGTGTCGGCAACTAACGTTTTAACCAAGAAGCGGAAGCTGAATGAAATCTGTTTTAGAATTCATGGGAACCTCGCGAAGAGAACGCGAGAAGCAAAGTCGGTTCAAAATCGCGCGTGTTGTATAATAGCCACGCGGATTCGAGGCAGGGCCGTAAGAATCGGGCGCCTACTTTCTCTCTCTCTCTCTCTTTCGGTGCTATTTCCGTACGCACGGCGATTGAGCGGGCCGGCAAGACGAATCGACGCCAAGAATTCTACGAGTGATCGAACGCAAACCACCACCGTTACTGCTGGTCCTCCTCGTGGACACCCTTTAAACTCACGCGTTCTACGACTCGAGTTCCACGATCAATCGTTATCGGCTCGACGTGTTCAAAATCCAGGACGACTGAACGATACGAAGGAAGTGAAACGCGGAATTTCCGGGCACGAGAGAGCGAAAAGTATCGATGGGTTTTTACGAATGGTCGGCTGTGACGAGTTGACGCGTTTATTTTAGAACGGTTATCGACTTCTCGTGTTGAGTAAAATTTTCGACGTGAATGCCAATACTGATTTGATGATTTATCAATCTGTAATGATATCGAGAAATAAGCACTGAAAAAAAAGTGTTACCGTCCAAGTAATATTTATTTGATCCAAGTAAAATGGTTATTCCAATATACCCGGATAAATATTTTCTAAAAATGGATATATAATTAATGAAAAGGTGAAGCCAGATAGACCTCTACGGCTTTGTTTATTTTACAGCGCTGTTTCTTTTCTTAATGAACGTCTCATGTTATTATTTATTTTTATCTATTTTGTACATTGATAACACGAAAAATCCACAAAACAAAGCATGGGCTCGAATTCAGCCACATTTCTGAATATGTTGACAATAACCCACCTCGTCATTAGAGGACTGACAAAGTTATATATCGTCGATCAATTTCTTCGGGCAATTTTGAAAATTCCAACTTAATTAAACGAGACTTGATTAGGCGTGCAGAATTGAGGGAACACTTTACCGCGACATATCCCGGAGAGAAGACCCGAGAGTCCCTTAAAATGCGCGACGTTCGTCTCTTCCGGTTACTCCGTCGAATTACCTCGATGTCCGCGGTTCGACTTCCCAAACACGAAGAAGACCGCGTTAACCGCGTCATAAATCATTTCGCGGCGTATTCCCCGAGAGAGAAATCTCTTCCGCGTTGAAAGCCAGAAGCCGTCATCGCGCTGAGACGCGATTTCCTCCGCGCGCCAGGATTGATTCATCGCGGAGGACGAAGGTTAAGGAAACGTCGGAGCGGGAATGAGAGAAAGAGAACAGGGACGCGTACTGTGGTGCGCGCCGGTCGACCACTATCGGCGTCTCTTATCGACGCGAAAAAGCGGTTGACAGAGTTTACCGAGTAACCGACAGCCGCGTGCGCGCGCGCACGACCCCCAGGACGACTCCTCACACGGCCCGTTGTGCTCGCTCGCGAACGTGATTCATTTCTTCGAGGGCCCACGGAGGAGCGGAAATCTTGTTTGTCGACAAAGACGCTTGTCCTTTGTGGCGCAGGCTTATCTGCGTGTGTGTCCGATTGCCCCGGACAATTCACGTGGAGCGCTGCCCCGTACTCCCCTTCTTCCGTCTCCACCGCAACGGTGCAACGCGAGATTACGAGTTCGTAAAAGCGCGCTCCGACGGCATACGAGGGCCGCACACGTGCAATCGGGTCAAATATATTTTAATCGTGCGCTCCGGCGGATAGATACGCGACGGCTCCGCAAGAAAGTGACCGACTATTCATAGAGAATAAAATAGTCGGGGATGTATCCTTGCTCCGCGACACGAAACGCTCTGCGAATCCGCGCTTATTAGTAACTTTACGATCTCTCTCCGTGGCTTTTCGGTTGAGAGATAATTCGATCGTCGTTATCCTACCGCATGACGAGAATGCCGTGAGATATGCGAAATAAGGATGTGTGTGTTTTTCTCTTCAAAGGTTACCGACACGCATTTTTCATGCGGAGCGAAATTGTTTTTTCGTTGTGGGCGGTGTGTTGCTACGAGCGAGATAACGATCGGCTGATCTGTTTTACTTCTCTTTTTTTTCCAGATATCACGCGGAGCGGAACTCCACTCTTCCATGGCCGTTTCCCGTGTTCGAAGCAATGCGTGCCCAAAGCCCCTTATCATTCTCCTGTCCGGTGTAGAGTTGTTAGACGACTGGACGGAGAACTGATAAGGGCCCGAGGGTCACAGAATCATCGTGGGACTCAACTGAGATCCCGCGCACTCACCGACCGGAGGCACGTGGCAGAGATGGCGTCGCACAGTGAAATAATTTCTGAAAAAATTTATCTTTTTTTTCACTATAGTTTTGTAAGTTCTGGAAAACCCGGTTTTCCCCATTTTCCCGCGAGATTCTTCAGCTACATACGGTATATTCTTTGTGGGAAAAAAAGTAAATGTGGCGGGTTTTAACTGAACGTGAGTTTTTCTAAGCGAATTTTTTACCCTTGGGATAGAAATCGAAGAAATCCGCGGAAAAATGGGGAAAACCCCGTTTTTTTCCGAAACCTTCAAAACTACAGACTTTTTGATCCTTCTGATTCTTTTTATCATTTACTTACTCTCTGGTCTCTCTACGTTTAAAACGGAAAATGGAAAAGGGAGAAAAGACGTCTTGGTGTACCGTGAAAATAATAATCATAATTGCGGTAAATTGTAATAATTAAAATTAGTGTAGAATATGCTTACTGCAGATTATCACTGCTCAAATTCTCTTGTTAGCTCACGATTAAAGCGTAATTATGCACTGTGTCCGATTTTCCAACGAGATCGTTCCACCACACGTCGATGGTACACCCTCATTTCCACAGATTGAATTTATTTTGGATATATAATGACGTTTAAGTGGTTTTACCAGTCGTTAAGCTATGAGATGTTAATGTAAATCGCTTAATGATGAGCGCGCACGGTTAGGAATTTAAAAAAAATATTTTATGAACGAGGTCAAATTATACGTGATTGTTGGAAGAACGGTAAAAGTAATTAGATTCGTTATTGCACCATGTATGAAGATTTATATCGATCGAGAATAAAATGATTTAAATTTATACATATATATTCTTACATTATTATCGTTATACGGTACATGAAATACGTTTCTACATTGAGACACTTAAGTTTGCAGTGAATTTGTGTCGATAAAAATAAAGTGGATCGCAGCTCTCGATGGAATTCGATAAGAAGCTTACGCCTGTTTTTATTGCGCATAATAAATGGTACAAAAAGAATCGGTAACACTCCTCCTTAAATCACTTCACCTTCCTCTACCCCCGCATCAGGTAAGTATCACACGATGACTCACGTCATGATAAAAATTGCCCGCCTGATTTATTTTGGAAACGTGTGGGAACGCGAGAGTCGGAGAGACTCGTCACGAGACTCTCGACGAGAGAGCGTCGCGTGGACTCGCCAGCCGCGAAGACACGTGACTCGTGTTTAATCGCCGTCTGCTCGACTTGTCGCGGATCTTGCTGAATAGCACGAACTTCGTTAATTAGGGACGCGCGAACGTTCCTCGGAGAACGATCGGTTACGTTCCCGTGCTCTTGGATGCCGCGTGTTCGACCTCGTAATTCGGGTTGATCTGGATGATCTGCCGGGCGGCGGTCTCGCCGAGCTTCTGCGGCTGGTTCTGCACGATCAGTATCTGCTTCGTCTCCTCCTTCTCCTGCAGGAATTGATTGACCCCGACGATCTTCAGCGTCGGCAAACCTTTTATGATCGTCGCGTTCGGGATCGCGAGATTTGCGCCGGCGCAGTCCACCTTCGGGAAGATCACCGGGTTCTTCGTGAGCGACAGAGAGGGTTTCTTCGGCAGACCGTCCGTACACGTGTAGGAGGAGCGCTTCACCGTCACGCCGTTGGCCGCCGCGATCGGCACCGTCAGTACCTCCGGATTCACCGATATTATTTTAGGTCCGAGAACTATCCCGTTTCCTGCAATGAAATGCGAGAAATAAAAGCAAACTCGCGGGCCCGCCTCGCGGTGTTGCACACCGGCGTGATAAATTTAGAGCCGAGTAAATTTCCTTTTCTCTCCCGCCCCGTGAAATCTTCCGCGGAATCGAAATCCGGAAGGGAACGACCGAGTGGCTACGTTAATTTACATCGCACGCACACAAACGTAAAAGTCTCTCGCGTTGTCCAAGCCAAGTCGAGAACGCGCTGAAGAAGCGAGCGGAACACGACGCAGAGCGACCACTTGCCTTTCTGCATCGCCTTCGTGACGGGGCAATCCTTGTGCGCCAGCAAGAGGGTCTTCAGCTTCGCCACTTCGGCGCGCAACGCCTTCACCTCCATCTGCAAGGCCGCGTTCGCCTCGTTCACGTTGGTGACATTCCTCTCCAGCTGCTGGATCCACGCTTTCCTCTTCGCCCTCGCGCGCATCGAGCTCGCCCGGTTGCGCTCGAGGATGTCTTTCTTCTTCAGCTGGTCCATCGTCTTCTTCGCGTTGTCCTTCTTCGCGCCGACGACGGAGGCCGTTGCGTCGGTGGCCTTCGTCTCGATCGCCCTCGGAGTCTGCGGAGCCGCGTTTTTAGATAAAGCTTGCTTCAGCTTCTGCAATGCGATTCCTAAGAGACTTGTCTACGGTGGACGCTAACCGACGCTAGGCGGTGCACAGTAAACAATTTTGTGTTAATTTTCTAGTAAGAAGATTCATAGAAAACGATCCACTGAAATTCTTGTGTTATTTTAACGTGGAAAATACATTAAAAAGTACACAAATATATGCGTTGAATTAACACTCACCTTATTAATGTATTACTTTTTAACGTATTCACCTGGTTAAGATAACGCAAAAGTTTCAGTGGGCCGTTTTTAACACAAAATTTATTACCGTGTATCAAACGAGCGAATTACCATTTTCGCCAGGGATAGTCTGGAGATCACGGATTTCTTGGGCTCCGATCTCGCGGCGCATCGCAGAGCCGGCTCGGTTCTGATGACAACGGTCTGCTGCTGTTTGCTACCGATGTTGGATACATTTGCGACCTCGGACACAGGTGTCGCCGACAGCTGCATCAGCTTGCCGTCCGCAGTTTTCAACAGCAGCTGCACCTCCTCGCCGTTGATGGACCTTCGCAAAAGAATATCCTGAACTCGCTGACGGCGCTGGCGAACACCAGCGAGTAATTTTCGATTGAGTGTTCTCAGATCGGGGAAAAGCGATGAGATAGTTTGATCCTTCGGGAAACATCTCTTGGTCCAGTTTGATAACAAAGGCCTCGCCTCTATTGTCGTTATTTTAAAGCATCGAACGCGCAAAATTGATTCTGTTAATTTATTCATGAGAAATTTGGAGACGTTTCTTTTTATTCATTTTTCACGCAAATGATGTACAGGCCGAAGAAAAAGATGTGGAACAAAGCGAAACGGGGTGGTGATCCTACGATAATGACAGGATTCTTACAGGCACGATATAGGTAGCATCAGTTTGAGCGCAATGAACACAATGAGAAAAGCGAGGCATTAGTTTAATCCAATGAACTCTATATATATATATATATATATTGGAACGAGCACGTCTTTGTCTCCGAATGATCAGAGTTGTGTGAGAGAGAGAGAGATAGCTGAACGGGTACCGTGCTATCCTCTACACCGCAGATTTAAACATGTCCATGTCAGGACAATGTTTTCAGCCATGATAGTTGATGTTAAAAAGAGACAAGACGGTATCAATTTAACTATCTCCGTCTGATCGGCTGCCACTATGGTAGCCATATGGCCTTACGCAATGGTTTAATTTCTTCCTGGCAAGTGACTATTCATGCGATCTAACAGCAAAAGCTTCGCGTCTCTATTATCATTACTGTCTCGAAATGCTTATCGAAGATCACAAGATTAACCCTGTTAATTTTCCCACGAGAAATTTAGAGACCCCTTCTTCCACTTCTTGTTCTGTGCGGTTTTCACGCAAAAACGATGGATGAAGAAAAAAATATGAAGTTAGACGACAGGTCTACGGCAATGTCAGAAGATCCTTACAGATGTGGCGTGGGTGTCGTCGGCAATAGTCTGGGCGCGATAGGCGCGTTCGCAACGATGATGCCTGGCGAGAGAGCGTCGTTCTTTCCGGGCGTCGTGGCGTCGCCCTTCATCAATTCCGGTGTTTCGCTCGCGCTCAGCTTCATAGTGCCGCACACCTCGGGCTCTATGACGCCGGTCGCCTCGTCCGTGCTCTTCTCGGCGAGAGACACGGTCGGTGAGCACTCCTCCACATTGTCCTCGCTGAGGATCTGACTGCTCGCGGGCAACACACCTGTTATGTAAGGAAAGATATGCGGTGTGTGCAACGTGTCATCTGTGATTCCAGCCTACAAGAAACAATTCATCGACGTCACACGGCTGTCCCATCCGATTAATTTGGGAAATGATTCAGGAATGATATCTTTCGTAAAGCTCAAACAAGCTTTTGTGATCTTGCCTCGGGTACTGTGAGCGTGCCGGTATTTCCCTGCTCGACCGCTCTGCGGAATGTCTCGTCGAATGGATTCACCTGCAGGTCTTGGAACAAACCGACCTCCTCGCAGTTCCTGATGAATCTCGTAGGCGTTGGTGTTTGGTCCGCTGCGAGTAAACGAAGATCTTATATGCACACATCTTTGTTCGTGAAGTCCGAGTCGTGTCGAACGTCGTGGTCTTACCAACAAAGCCAGCGTTCTTCGAGTTGTTGCCCAGATTCAGCATCATATCGTGCTTCTTCTTGTGTACGCTCAATTGGTCCTCATTCGTAAAACTCTGCAATTAAAGGATGTCTTGTCTTCTTGCACCTCTGTATGTATTCTATGTATATGTGTGTGTGTATTTCGATTAGCATTGTAACTCTTAAATATTTTCATGATGTAACATGAGTTACATTCTTCCATGTATGTGGACGAGCGAGAGTTCCTGAGGAAAAAGACACGTACCATGGTGCAACCTGATGTGGAGCAGGCGTAGGGTTTCTCGGAGTCGGTCATCGCGAGTGCGTTTCGATGAACTGCGTTTCAAATTTCTTCTCGACGCGAAACAATACTGTGGAATAAGTGGCATAAATATACACGGTAACCTCATTTGCGGGAATGCATTGCTTATATATTATTTATGCGAATTTCACTGTCACTTTGCGCGTTCAGTTCGATCACCAGTCAGCGAGTTTCAATTTTGAGCTTCGAGATAATCAACAGAGTTATTACCACGTGTGTTACGCGCGCGAAATCAAAGTGATCGCGTTGTTTTCGTTGCAACGCTCCGAATCAATCGTAGCCATATTGGCACAGTTGCAGAGACCCATTCAGACAATACAACCTACTAGCCGTCTGTTCGTATTAACTGGACTTATGCTGCCACCTTGTATAAGTTATGAGAGGACGGATGATTGTGTGGTCGGTATCACCGTGTAGAAATTAAAAACGTTTTAAACATATTAATGTTTTACAATTTTTTTATTTTATTTTTCTGTGCTTTTATACATCTTTATTACTTCTCATTTACAACATAATTACATATTTGAGATATTTTTGAAATTTTTTTGTAACGTTAGAAAATGTATGGAACAGCAAGTTTGCTGTATTTAAAAAATATATGTCGACTATTCCGAGGGTTCCGAGAAGATTTTTAAATATTCCTCCTAAAAGTAAAAAATTAATACGAGATTTTTATATTATACCTCGATATCACACGCGGTCTCAATACCATGCAGACTGGACTAAATCCAAATTATGGGTACATACGTAACACGAGAGTGATGAAGAAAATATCGTGAGTCACAACGCGATTGCGAAAATGGCAGAGAAATAGTGCAGAAACGACACGGAGAGTGACGTAGACGTGCGTATAGGGAATGACAGCTTTAAATTTATGCGTGCCTCCTCATTGCTCATTATGTCACGTGGTTACGCGACGAATTGCACAGACACTTCGTTAGAAAGTAATGAGAAAAATGCCTACTCGTACTATATAATTCAAATAAGTCAATTTATTATTATTACTAATAATAAAGTCAGTTTCGGTTTTTTTGAATTAATTTACAATATCAAAATAAATTATTTCGACGTGACGTGAATAATACAAAAAATCGAAAATTAATGAGAAGCATTGAAAATAAATGAAAAGCTTTGTCCTTTTTCAAACAGATCTGGTTCGCTCTCGAATAGCGCAGAGAATAAAAAGAATGCGTTTCCTCTTCGCTCGCACGTCATCTTCGCGCAGAGTCGGCATAATTATTCGCCTCGCAAACGAGCAGTTTTAGAAAATTGCATGGCGAACGAAAGTTTAGTTTTCACGCGACAACGAGATTTCAAAGTGAAACCTGCCGCCTGAAGTTTCGGATTTACCGAGCTCGCGGATAACAAATCGAACAACGGTACAACACGTTTCGACCAAAATCCACCCCAAATTAGTCATTCAAATTAAATCCGACGTTTCATTAATTATATAAAGTCGTAACTCACGGAATGCCCGGTATTTCGAGGAACGCGCGCGAAAAATAAAAAAGAAAAGACAAGAGTGCAAATTAAATTCGAGAAACTCGCGCGATCTCGCGAAACGCAGGAGATTATCGAGAAGAAGCAGCTTGGAAAGTCAGTGGAGGATTAGAAGACGAATTAGTCGGAAAGTAAAATAGAGGAGTTCAGTTAGAAATCGATGTTCCGCGAAATAAAGAATAAAATAAACAACATAAGGAATTAATTAACATCTTGCATGCGAAAAAAAAAGAGTATGTAAAGCGGCCCGGTAGAAAGTGGTGATCGTCGTCGGGGACTCCGTGTAATTTGAAAGGAACGGGCGCGAGAGACGAGCCTGTTCGTCGCGCTTGGGCTTGGTAATTTCACTAGTTAGATAGAAAAGGAACGCTTTGGGCGCTTGGGCCCATCTGGAGAGAGTGAGGACAGACGGCGAAGAGAGTGGTCTCGGAAGCTGATGTTTCTGTTCCTCATCAGTAGTCAACCGCGTGTCGCGGTGTTCTATTCATTGGCTCGCCGGTGTAAACGTGACCCTGACCGTGGCGGACACGCGACGAAATCCGCGTCGAGCGAATATTCACGCGGACAAATTAAATTGCGGAGTGACGTCGCGACTATCCGCGCTAAACGCACACGTCGGTGAATTTAATTTATTCCGAAGAGCGCGCGCCTCATCTCTCTTTCCTTCGCTTCTCCGGCGCATCTCTCTGTTTCTCTTCGAGTGATTCGATCTGTAGAAGTGTGAGGTTATAATATATCACGAGTGTGGTTGTGACAGAAAAGAAGGTAGGAATACAAGATGCAGCGTGAAATGCTCTAATGTATCGAGGGAGGAAAGTATGATGATACAATTTTACTCGAATTAAATCGCATGATGACCCGTGCGATATTCGTTCGTATTCGTGGATTACGATTAAAGGACGATGAAGAAAATAGGTCGATTTTTAGCCGGAGTGACAAATGAAAATTATTCTTACTCAGAATCACTCTCACTATTGATACCATTCTGATGTCAAAGATTTCTGACAGATGTTGACCATTTAAGTGGATCTTATGAGAAGATCGGGTATAACTACTTAATATTGTTTATTTTATTGTTTATAGTATAGTTTTACATTTTCATTGATATGATTGATTCTCATAATAGTTTGTTAAATATTTCATAGCTTCATATGCTGATTTTAATACTTTCCCGACAAATCAAAATTTTTTAAAGGTTCAAATCAGACTCAGCAACTCAAAAAAAGCTCAGCATTACAAAAAAAGCTAACCGTTTTAACTTATCACTTCGGGAATCAAAATCGACTTATTTTACCCATCGTCCTTTCTTAAGAGACAATTTTCTTTAATTCCACGTCCAACTTCAAGATCTTCGTAGACATAAAGTGCATATCTCTCGATACCCTATCTTCTTTTCTGACACTTCGAATAATTGATCGCGACGATTAGCGTGTCTTAAACAGTGACAATTGAGGATTGATCGCATCGAACAGCGGGGAAAGCCTAAGTCCAATCTGACAGATCGCGCTCAGTAGATGAGATCTCAGACTCGCTACCGGCCTTGATCTCGATAGAGAATCCAGGTGAGGCCGTTGATCGGATCACCGCACGTGCAGTCAATTCTTTAGAACGCGAAACGATCGGTTTCCATCGTTGCTACGACGGAAAAACTTAATTGTGCGACTCGCTGGTGCTGCAATGAATCGTGTCTACTCGCCGGCTGGCGAAAGTATTCTCAGTTTTTAGGTACTGTTTAAGGTCTTCCGCGCGCACGTCTCACAACTTTACCAGGTCTTCCAAATTCTCGTTAATTTCATTTGGTGTGACTCGAGGAACCGTTGACCAAAAACTTATACACGGAAGAAATGAGTCTTAAATCAATGATAGATATTCCCATATATTAGTCATATATATAAGAAGAATATTATAATCTTCTTAGAACATTTTTAATTTTGATTTGATTGAATTTGTATTGATGCAAGTATTACTTGCACTCAATTCAAGGCTGAAAATCTTCTAAGAATATTATAATATTCTCGCTTATATATGAAAATATCTATCATTGATTTAAAGACTACTTTTTTTCTGTGTATAGGAAGCTCTAAAGCTCCACTTCATTCGCTAAAATTTTTAATTCTTGTTTATAAAAAGTGATAAATTCTCCAGTTTCTTAAGTTATTTCCAAAGTTCGCTTTCAAACAGTTTGTTTCGCAAGGAGATCGGACGAGAAACTAATTTGTAGCAAAAACACGCTGATAAATTGAGGATACGTTAGGCGGTAGGGCAGATTTCGCATATCGGATCGTTTGCTTTGTCCGCTAAGCGCGAGAAGAGTGAAGAAAGTCGAACGATCGAAAACAATAGCGGAGCACATGCGCGCTCGTTAATTCATCGCTCACAATGATGGCGGTTGCTGAAAGCGATATCCACTTTTTCCTCCGTCTTAATTTTTAATCCGTTGCATAATTCATGCAATGTTATAGATGCAAAGTAGCAAATACTCGCTCTAGAGTGGGATTTTTAACTAGAGATCTGCTCTAGATTTTCCGAGCGGTCGTGAGTTTAATTTAGGCGCGCTCCGCGTAATTTCTAATGTAAAAGTAAACTTCTTTAATAGGATTTCGATAAAATATCTCTCTCGATAATGATAAACGCAGATTAAAGTCTGCGAAAAAAAAAAACGTCAACCAAATTGTCAACCTGACAGTTGACTAGAGTTATGCAAGAGTCAATATGCAAAAGGGGAAAACACGTGTATCACGCAATTGTTTGTGGAATTTCCATTTCGAGCACCTACTGACAGCCTTTCCAGCCGGAAAAGATGGAAGGACCGTCGGCTGGCTTCAAAACGACATCTCCGAGCGCAATTCGAAGTGACTTGGCGCACGCGTGCACGCCGCCGCAGCGCTCGACGTCGTTGTCAAAGTCGAAAGTTACCGGCTAACTTTCACTAATAACTAAAGGTACAGCGGCCGCGCGGTTCCGCATGTAGACCGGCCGAACGTTACGAAGCACTAAAAGGCGTGCCACTTGTCTCGGTGGCCTGGTTTCGTGTCCCACTTTTGCGCCGGACTGTACGTGAACGTCTTGGACACGCTAGCGTGAACCCGCTCGCGATGGCACCGCCGTCGAGGAAACGACCGAGGATGTGGACAAAGGCCCGGCTACCAAGATCGACGTCGTCGTCGATTCATATCACATATATTGGGGGGAATTTATTTACGTATGTTGCTGCAACAATTTTGCTCGCTAGCAACGTTCCTCCGTTTTTTTAAATTTCTTCGTAAAATTGTAAATAAAATTTCTCGTTTAATTTTTTATTTGATTCCTGATACATTGAATTCTGGTATTCAAGACGAGAAAAGATGAGAAGTACACGGAAAAAAGAATCAGTTTCCACAATTAAAAATTAGCTCTCACAAGTCAAAATTACTTATTGTTCATATAATACAACTGAAATTTAGTTAATTTAGATAATTTTTTTACCTGCACCTAGTTTTTCGCTCCCGCAGCTAAAAACTAGGTCTGGTAAATTTTAATTGTGTTATACGGACAGTTAATTCTTTTTTTCCGTGTATATCTCGATTTTCTTCATCTATCTTTCAGATATTTGCATAATTTATTTGAATAATAATTTATTTTTTATATGGCAATTAATGGTTTTATATGGCAATCAACAATTAATAACTTGAACTGATGATCGGTCGCGTCGGATCGCGGGGAAAGCTCGAACCCTTTCGCCGATCTCCTCGATAGTCGAGATCGAGAAATCTAACGTCTCTCGTTCTCTCTAATGACTCGATTGTTACCGTGAGCAAACAGGGGTTATCGCAACGATGCCTGGCAGCTATGTGCTTCCATTCTGCAAGTGTAATACTTTTGTTTACGCCGCTTGTTCGCTACGCGGGCAACGGTGAGCTAATTAAAGTAGAAGTAAAATCGTTTAGAAGCGATCTAACGCGCACGCACCGACGAATCGTCGTAGACGTAGGCGCGAGGGATCTCAGGTGAACAACCTCATGACTGCACACGTGTCTGTTTACACGTTGTAATTCGAACAATCGTCTCCTCCTTCTCCGTCTCTTACGGGTTACCTGTCTCTTTCTCAGACACACAACGCCACGTCCTCTATTCGGCAGATCGAATCTCTTCTTCCAGCGACCCTTCCATTCCGGTTTTCACCGAAATTTTTAGTAAAAGATGCGAATGTTGGCAGGTGTAGAAAGAGTGTTCGTGTTCATAACCCGTATTTAGAGTCAAACGCGACCGTGATTCTCGAGATAACATTGTACACGGTCGTCTTCATGCCAGGAGAATAAACGTGAGAACTGGATGGCCGCGTTTAGCGGTAAATATGGAGTAAACCCGGGCGAACCTCGATATTTGTTGGCCGCACGTTAATAACACTCATTAAAAAAAAAAGAAGAAAATCGATCGATCGATCGTCGCGTAAGGCACAAATACCTGAGAACACCTGAGAACACCTGAGAAAAGAGGAAGAAGAAGAGGAAAAAAGAGAAGGAAAGAAAAAAATAAGGCGCGCTCTTCTTCATTCGAGGGTCTTTTGCGCTTCGAACAGGGCAGCGAGCGAAACGAAACGGAACGAGGGGAGACTACCGGGCGTGACTTACGGGTTTCGAGGTGAAATCATGGGAAACGCGGCGAGATGATCCGGCCGGATCGTCGCTCTCGGGATTGACTGGTGACAACTTTGTGAACATGATCGGCGACGAGTGACAGTGAGTGACCGCCTCCCCCCCCCCCCCCCCCCCCCCCCNCCCGCGTGATCATCGTTGGCCGCCGCGACGGGAGAAATGATCGTCCTCAGAACCGAATTGCTCATCTCGCTGCTTCTAATCGCCGATATTCACCACTGCGTGGCCGCGAGCCGGAGGAACGACCGTTTCCTGAGCAATTTCGGTGAGTTTGGATGCGCGCCTGTCCGTCTCGCCGCCGAAGAGGAAATAATGGTTTCACTCGTTTGAACTTGTCTTCTAGGTCAGCCGGAGGAGAAAGGAGAAAATCTCGAAAATGCGATCGACTCGCGCGGGCAGATGAGGTTCTTCGACGAGCTCGGACGTGAGTGACGTTACGTTGCGTTATTAGTGTGTTAAACGCGCTAAATGCGCGCGTCTGTATTCTCCCGGTGAATCACGCGATTAGGCGTAACGGCCGAGGAAGACGGAGGAGTTAGAGCGAATTTTAAGGATCGTTTCGAAAGAGAAAGGCCGCTCGCGTATGCTACTCTGAATAATAAATGAATATATCTCGGCACGGCCACGTCGGGAGTCGAGTGACGGCGGACGGAGGATCCGTGACACGCCTCTTCGACACGCTTCCACTTTCGTAATGTGTTTAAATATGATTTAAATACAATGACGCGACTCGTGTATGCCTGATTGTCACGCGTAACGCTTCGGCGCGAACGGAACGGCGGTCGATGTTAATATCTCGCTTCCCCCACTTGGAATAATTTTCATCAATGAACGTCACGCGACGGAGATCGGCAACGTGTTATAATTTACGAAGAATGGGGAAACTCGTTATCTGGGTCGAGTAACTTGAATAAATAATAAAAAATATCGTATGGGAGTTTGCATGGAAAGAAAATAGTCTGAAATCAATGATAAATATTCTCGTGTATAAGCAAGAATATTCTTACAAGATTTTTCATCTTGAATTGAGTGCAAGTAATACTTGCATCAATACAAATTCAATCAAGGCGAAACTAAAAATCTTCTAAGAAGATTATAATATTCTTGCTTATATATGAGAATATCCGTCATTGATTTGGGATTGATATTTTCCGTGTAACAGCGATAAGAAATAAGCGATTTAATTGCTACGTGACTCCCTTCTCCAAAAGTTGAGTAATAAATATTTGATGCTTTTCAATAGTTGATATTTGTTCTCGTTATTTAAGATTAGTATTTGTGGTTAGCGGAACGTCTGTAGTTTGACACGTTAATTAGATAATCCGGTGGATTGAAATAGCACTACGAACTACAAATGCATTAACGCGTGTATTCGTATAATGAAGAGAGCATGTGGAAGTGATGGGTATCGGATTTAAAAGCGCAAACCGGTTCACGTTCACCGGATATTCGTATTTATGAAACTAAGGCAACATGGCCTATATATATATATATATATATATATATATATGTGTATGTGTGTGTGTTTATCCGAGCGATTCTATTTTAATTACTACCATGCACGATATACGAGCGAAATGCGACATCCCTTGTAATATAAGTATACGGCTATTTAATTTTACGAATTAAATATTTTGTCCGAATGACAGTTCAGTGAACAGTACGAGAGATAATTAGAGGATAATCGCTTGCGAGTGTTAGTCTTTCTCGCCCAGAGGAAATATTTATTATTACATATATGAGAATAAATATATGTTTGAGGAATTAGAGATATCCTTCGAGAGATTTGCTTCGGACGATATTTTATTCGGTTCAGCGGCCGTCTGACGTCTCCTCGCAACGCGATATTTTCCGTTGGAAAACGCGGGGCGCAGAAGGACTTCGTGATTCACAGTTGAGTTAACAAGGGAGACGAAATCGGAATCGTACTTGAAAGGCCACTTACTGACGCTTACTTTCTACAAGAATATTTATAATGAAGCGCACGCGGGTGGGGCAGGGCGGAAGCACCGTTTTCACTGCAACCTCGTCACATCCCTTCTCTCTGTCGTTAAAAGCGTTTTACCCGATGACATCCTTTTTTTCTTTCCTCTTTTCTGTTCCTACTCGCGAGACTCGATACTGGGCGAGTCGTTCTCCCTGCACGTCTCGTAGACTTTTATTAATTCAGTCGTCGTCGAAATTTCGCGCCGCTGATGTCGTAAACGTAATCGCGACTCAAGCATGTATTTGTTTGATTTACCGCAAATGAAAGCGCGTCCATGAGTACAATTGTTTCATATCCGTGTCTAAATTTATTATATCTGGCGGCAGAGAGAGGAGAGGAGAGAGAAGGATGGAGCCCTCTCTCCCCTCTCTCTCTCTCTCTTTCTCTCCCTTCTTAAATAGTCTTGACGGGACGATTCTTTCTAAATGCCCCGCGTCGTCTTGGTTTTTATCCTCGAAAGTAAAAATACTTTCAGTGAAACGCGCTACGAAATCGGGTCACGAAATCTCGGCATATCGAATCCGTCCGACAGTAAAAAGGCGTTTCAGCGGATAGTCAATTTCATCGAAATCAAGCGATTTCGCGTGTACCCTTATCTTTTATTTATCACAGACGCGGCCTCACCGAATCGGTTTATTTCTCGCCGACAAGAGGCCGAATCGTGTCCCATAGTTTCTAATCTTCGTATAATTTGAGCGTTACTTTGACTAAGAGAGACGGCAATCGATCCGTCGACGGAATCTCGCGACCCATTGGGATTTTCTATCCGCCCGACGGGTCCCGAATGTCAAATCGGAGACATGAACTCGCAGAGTTTCCCGGTTATTTAGAATGCGACAATTCCACACTGCGATGGAATAATTCAGCGGAGAAAGAAATGGAAAATAAGACGCACCGCGTGTTCTTCGCCGATGGCGAAGGTGGGGAACCAATGTGAGACCAAGGGACGACACCGTCGCTGTTGCGGGAAAGCTGACGCCGGTGAAAGCAGCGGACGCCTCCTTAGATCGTGATCGAGACTCGTGAGACATCGGCTTAAGCCAGTCCACGTGCGGAAGGCGTGCACTGTCGCGGCTTCCTCGTCACCTCGGCTTGGAGGAGCGCGCTTTGACCTTTTTTCGCGTTTGACCCTCGACCGATCGAGCATCGAGCGGGAGATTCCGTCGATCGTCATCGTCAACGTCTGACTTGGGAGAGCTCGCAATATCCTGTGAACTCGCGGAGCTTCTCTGAGAAAAATCAGCCGAAATGGCGGAATTCGAAGATCGAGCCGGAAGACTCGACCGAAGTTTTGTGCTCGGTGAAGTTGGAGATTTGTGAAGAAAGTGGACCATGAGTGAAACCGGACTCACGCAAGCCCGTAGTCGAGGATACACGGTCCAGAACTGACCGGTGATAGAACAATAACCGGCTACGATCGAAACTCGGAATTCCAAGATATCGATTCCAATCGAGCGAGTTGCTTCTTGTAGCAAGCAAAGCAAGAGATCGACGTGCGAAAAATACCAATTCCGTGCTGACATTTTTCAAATATTACCGCAACGTGAAGAAACTAAAATTCCCGAGTCTCGAGTAAGGTTCTCACGAAGTTCCGAACTAAATTGAGTTCCTCCTCGAAAGCGTCGTTATTCTACGACTCTCCAGTGTACGGTGAACCCGTGATGACGTGCAAAACATTCTCGAAGTGGTAAGCGGAAGTCGCAGTCGATCATGAAGATCGTGCTGGCGCTGCTCCTCATCACCGTGGCGAGCGCACTCGATCACCATGACGTCTACTCGTGGAATAGACGCAGACAGGACTTCAAGGTCGCCGCAACTCGATCGGCCGCACCGATGAAGGTCAAAGAGACTCGCGCGCCGACGCCGGCCGCGCAATCGATTCGCAGGTCGAGGACGTCGAGTCCGTTCGCGGATGATTCCCTTCAAAACTCGCCGAGAAGACGCGCGCTCGTGGGGGACTCGGACGAGCAGCGGGACCTGTGGAGCCCCGTGGCCGTCAGGACGCGGCAGGATTTGACGCGTGAAAACCGAGCCATTGAGAACACCTTGAAGAACGGGATCGGCAGGCCGTCTTCGACCAAAGTCGAGCAGTACTTTTCGAACTTTCCATACAGCGATGACACATCCGTCGACGCCATATTGGGGAATGCGGAGCATCCGAAGAGCACAGCGTTCCTTCCGAAGGACAACGCGGATCATTTCCTGGATCACAAAGTGGAAGAAGCGGACTGGAGCGCGCCGGATGTATTCGAGAAAGACGTCCAGCATGAAGAAGAGGAAGAAGAAGAGCAAATGATGGAGGAGGAGGAAGAAACTAACGTGCAGGACTTCCTGGACGAGATCAAACGGAAGAGACTGAACGGGGATCTCGAAGGGCTCACGGCAGGACACCGGCAAGGCAGACACAGAAAGCTCACCAGTCAGCAGCAAGGCGCGCTTCTGGTGGAGACGCTGAAGAAGAAGCGAAACCACACCAGTGACCATCGAGGGCACAGCTCCAACTTGCAGAGCGGCATTATGGATATGTTGGGCAGAAGTATGTTCGCGGAAATAGGACGGAAGTGTCGTTCGTCGTCGGAACGACGAGTTCAAGCGGACCGCATAAAATCGTTAATTGATCTCCCCAGGATACGAAACACAAAGAGCGACACGATTGACACGATTGTAGTCTTCAAGTTTCGGGAAGAAAATGTTTTTTCTCCATTTTCCGCGGAATTTTTCGGTTTCTTATATATTTTCCTTTATGGAAAACAACAAAGTAAATATGACGGATTTTAACAGAACATATGTGGGTTTGTATAAACGAATTTTTATATCATGGGATGGAACCGAATCCGTAGAAAAATTGAGAAAAAACCGCGTTATTTTCCGAAACTCAAAGTAACACAATAAGTGCTCCTTTAATGCTACAAAGGGAATTTAGTTGTCCAGAGTCTAAATTTTAATTCTACATCAGATCTTCAAGTGGGAAAAACGGCAATAACTTCCCTATTCGTAGCCCCAAGAAGCCCAATAGAAGACCTTGGAACACTTAATGTAGAACTAAATTAGACTTAAAGTAGGACTAGAATTTCGACTCGGATATACAGACGCTTATTATACGTGGAACCTGCCGATCTGTTTCAGTGATACCGCAGACCTGCAAGTACAAAGGTGCCAAGTTCGAGTGCGGTCTCAGCATTAGCTGCGTTTTGGGCGGCGGTCGACCGGTCGATCTCTGTTCCGGGGGCATGATATGGAGCTGCTGCGTGGACGACGACGACATACCTGAGAAAGTACCGCGACCGACCGTGGGTTTGCTGCAGAATGCCAGTAAGTATCCGGCGCGAGCGAATTTCTCGCGGTGTCTACGCGAGGATTTAGGGGGAGCGGGGAATTGTAATTTTTATCGCGCGGGAGAATTCCTTCCTACGATATCCGTCGTCGCGTCGCGGTAGGTGGCTTTACGACATCTGGGAGGAGGCTCCGCGTGTCCTCGAACGTCGCTGATTTCTGAACCGAGACTTTGAGGTTGTGTCCAGCGCGAGCGACTTCCGCGCTCATAACATCATGGGATCTTAAGCGTCGGGTTTCGCTCGCGCGAATCGTCGAGAAAAAAGCGTCCGATCCGCACGCGATCCGCAGAGCAAACGGGACTATTTCGTATTTAGTGTTTGCCGTAAAAACGAGTTCATGTATCAATTAGCCTCTCAGCGGAGAATGTAGGCACGCGGAGAATAATCTCGTCGGATCAGAATTAATCGGTCAGAACGATCGAGTTCGAAGAAGGCTGAATCATGAGCTGAAAGGAGACACCGTAAGGAAGCAACCTGATTTCTATACGGCGACACATCCGAAATTGCACAACCCAACGTCCAGCTAAGCCGTCGCGCTAGCGAGCGCACCGACGACAACGACGGTACACAGCCGGGGCACTTTCAAATACAGTTATTCACACCTAGTTTGCGACAGCATGGTCGCCCGCGGAACTTTACGCGAGCGTGCTTTCTCGAGTTACCGCGAATCGTTCACCGTAACCGCGTGACCATCAATACAATGGCGCGATTAGGAACACACGAGGAAATAATGTCACCTGGACTAGAATAAGACAATCGCGAATTATCGTACGCGTGCGAGCGCTTCCTAATGTACACTCATATTTGCACGACGTGCGATTTCTCGTCGAATTCGGCGGGAACGTTCACGACACATCCCCATCATCGATGATCCCCTGACAATAACGAATTCTCAATGATATAATCTCGCGAAACACAGAGTCGCTGTGTTATCTGGCCGAAAGTCGGCCGCAGAGCCGCGACGCGAGATTCCGAGTAGCTAACAGCAGCATCGTTACGTTGCCCAGCGTTTTCCATAAACCTCGGCCACCAACAGCCATACGTGGACGACGACGTGCACATTTACAGCAGCGACCTGCGACCCAGCAGACCTACGACCAGCCATCGGCCCGCGTATTCGCACGTGGGCGCCAGCAGCGGGGGCGGCAAGCCGGGTAACCCGTACGATCCGTCGTATACGATCTGGAACCACGATCGGCCGACGAACGATCTCGCGATCGGCCATGAGCGACCCACTCGTCCGTATCACACGGTCCAGCTGGACTATCCGCAGGACGGCTACCCGGCTCACGCCTCCGGCGTGCACGTGCCGATCGAAGACTCGTCCAATGCCGTGGACTACTCCAGATACCGTGGTAATCGCATGAGAACCGTCGACCGTTGCACGCGCGATGCATATCGAGAACTCGCGCGGATCGCTCCGCCGAGTATCGTCGATTTCGCCGATCTGACAAGAGGAGGTGTCCCAAGGTGATACCCGCCGATTTCAATAGCATCGCTTGTGTGGATGATAAATAGGCAAATTGTATAAAACCTATATAATTCACAATTATTTTATGTAAAAATTGCATTCCGCTATGATTTGATTCGTACTTGTATTAATCAGGCACCGCCGAGCGGCGGAGTATTCCGTTAAACTTGCTCACACGTCACTCGAGATGTTTTAACTTCGATTGTCCCGAATTGCCCCTTGAGAATTGCGCATTCTCCCTTTACTTAATAAAGACTCGTGCCAAGACTTATCCACACAAACGATATTATTGAAATCAGCGGATGCCACCCTGTGACCTCTCCGGGGTAAGTTCGGCGGATCCGGACGTTGTGGACACAAACGCGAGACGATCATCCGGTCGACTCTGGTAGCGATGACGAGGATCGTCCGAGCGAATTCGCGGTGTCGACAGCGGCGGGAAGCGGAACTCGTCGGAATCGCGCGTCTGATCGCGTTTCGTAGATTTTAGACAACTGGTGTGTGCTTATCTTACATCTGTCTTGTGTTGGGCTTTCTCGGACGCTGCGACGGGCCGGAATCGTTCGGTCTTTCGACGAACGCGCGTTGACGTCGACGATTACGATTGCGGTGAAGAAAGCGCGACTCGAATCTGATTTAATCGCGTTAGACCACGGAGAACAGGTGTCAGTCTCTCTCGTGGTTTCCCAAGCAGCGTGACTTGGTAGATAACTCGAGCGGACTTTACGCCATGATCGATTCATCGATTGATTGATTCCAGCAAAAAATCGCTATGACGTATGATTGTAATGATAAGACGCGACAAAACGGACAAGGTGGACGAGCGCTTTATGAAGCGAATGACGACGATACGAGTGCGATATCTGTCGCAGGACGATACGAAAGACCATAATTGTGATTAAAATCTGCTATAGCACAGCCCCGCTAGATTCTACCGATTCTACAAGTGGACTTCTCACGTGATCGTTAAGTTTCACAATCATGACTACACCCGAGCACGCACACAATCTTTCGCATGGAAAACTGCACGAAAACTTGGTGCTTTCGCCAACGCACACCGCGGCACGTTTTCCCCCACCGAGTGTCAGGGAAACAATCGGAAACTGTATTCGACGATGAAAGATCAAGAAACGCTAAGGATCCTGGTGGATTGATCGTACGAGACGGAGGACTAAGAGGAGGAGTGATAAATAAGGACGACGAGATATAAAGAATGCCTCGCGCGACTTTCATGGAAGAAAAGAAATATATTATTTAATTAATTTTCTTAACTTATATAACTCTTTGTTTAATATAAATGTTGTTAGAAGGTAAAAATAAAATGGGGTGTACGCTTTTATATGGAGAAAAAAGTTTCTTTGGATTTAGTATAGATGTTTGTTTGACTTGGGTTTGTTTAATATAAATGACATAATTCAATATCAAATATAATTTTGTTTAAATAAAAATACTGCTGCTTCACTAGAGTAAACCATGTTTAATATAAAAAAAATATTTTTATTTGGCTGAAATATATTTTTAAATTTGATTTTTAATAAAAAAATGTATTTCATTATAAGTTAAATATTGTTCCACTGAAACAAAGAGGTTCTTTAATATTTTTCTAACATAGTATTATTTCTTTCAAATAATTTATTGCTTTTAATAACTATTGTAATATCTGGCTGAAAATACAGAAATGTGTTATTTAACGTAAGGATATTTATTACTTGAAAGATATTATTGCCGAAAAATCCTGTTTCAAACAGGAATCAAACATTCGTTTGTTTGCTTCATTTCAAAAGACATTTGTCTTACAATTAGAGAAATTGCATTAAACCCAAAGAAATCTTTTTTTCCGTATACATCGGATCGCGTGACTTCGATATTTCCTCAGAAAAATATGAAAGTATGTTTATATCGTACGACTGCGCGTGGAATTCAAGCGACATAAAAATAATAGACATTGAATCATGGATCTAATTTCTTATGGATACATAATGGTTATCTCGTATTTCTATCTTCTCCCTCTTGGAGATCTTGGAGGAAATCGCGTGAAGATTTTATCCGCGCCAGGAGAGCCCGGCAATCACGTTTCGAGCAAGAGTTATATATCTTCCCGACGCGTGAATGTAATTACACGACAAAAAACAAAATGGATTTCTCGGGGATCGCGTGAATTCTCTTACATCGCACGCGTACTTTCCGCTTTCTGTCTCTCGCGTCGAGACTCGCGAACGATCTACAACGGACGAAACCGCGCTCAAACGGCCGTTTAACTCAATTGCAACGAGACGATCGCAGAGATACCAATCAGCTAATGAGTTCTGAGTGCAAGCTTACGCCACATCTGGCATCACCGTTTGTGTTTTCCCCTCTGAAATCGCACATCAACCATCGGTTCTCACGAATCGCACGCGCATTTCTATTCACCCGTCATCGTCTCTCTTCCCCTCGGCTCGCCACCCGTCGCACACGTTACGTCACACTCACATGAAAAAAGGAAGAGAAAGAAAAGAAAACGCCAACACCCGGAGACATCCTCCTCCTCTGAACGCACGCTCGGAACTCGCGATGACTAAATCAGCTCCGTCGTCCTTTCAGGCTGCGGCGAGCTCTACACAAGGAGCAACAGGATCGTGGGTGGGCACTCGTCCAGTTTCGGCAGCCATCCGTGGCAGGTGAGGCTCTTCTTCTTTTTCTTTCTCCTCTTCTATCCGCGAGAAGCGCGCCGGCCGGCCCCATAAATATCTCTCTCGACCCGCAAAAGCGACACGCTCCTCTCTTACCTCTCTGCATTATTCATCGGCAACGAGCCATCAATTTGCTTGCTCTCGTGTAGAGACCGGGCGGCCGAGCGAGCGAGAGAGGCGCGAGGGAAAAATAATCTGTTAAATCTCCGCCGTAGAAGGCCGCGGCGAGCCGTGACGCGCCGCGGATGCATATTTCATGTAATGCGCCGGTGCAAACGGGCCGTGTGTGTTAGACGCTCGACTTTTGTTGCAGGCCGCCATTATCAAGTCGGGATTCCTCACCAAGAAGTTGTCCTGCGGTGGCGCCCTGCTGAACAACCGATGGGTCGTCACAGCGGCGCACTGCGTCGCGACGTTAGTATTCCTTATTTTACTGTCGTTGGTTACTTACAACCGACACAAGGCGAATAACGAGTGTTAACGGATGTGTGATTTCACGCCAGGACACCGAACAACAATCTAAAGGTTCGACTCGGAGAATGGGACGTGCGAGACGCGACCGAACGGCTTCTTCACGAGGAATTCAATATCGAGAGGAAAGAGGTATCTGTCTTTTACATTTTTAAACGTTGCGTCGAACCGCCCTCGACGTTACTCTCGGATGTGCGAATTTCAGTCGGCTCTTCGCACGATCGACGATCGGAATTTGCGCGACGCTGAACGCGAGAAGCTCGCGGAATACTTGTAGATAAGCATCGAAACGAGAAGAAGTTAATAACGATTATGATAAGAACCGGTAATAACGACAGGTACACCCGCAATACTCGCCCACCGACTTCCGCAACGACGTGGCTTTGGTGAAGCTGTCCAGAACGGTAGCTTTCAAGCAACACATTGTCCCAGTCTGCTTGCCGGCGAGGAATTTGAAGCTCTCCGGCCGAACCGCAACTGTCGCTGGTTGGGGACGAACCAGGCATGGTCAAACTTCGGCGCCATCCGTACTTCAGGAAGTCGACGTCGAGGTGAATATCAGTACGCTCGTCTTTTGCGTCGAACGCTTTTTCTCAGATAAACTACGTGTGCGCGATCATTATTTCATATATTTAATAATACGATTTTATTCGAGAGATGTTGAAAATTATTGGAAAATTTTAACATTGTATGTATTTATAAAATTAATTATTGCAGATATTAGAAGCAAGTCAAGAATTTTCCCGACAAATGTGATTAGTAATCAAATAAATATTATATTGCGATTATAATTTAATCGGAGGACAAATAATTAGCGGTACGTTTTTATACAGGTGATACCGAACGAAAGATGCCAGAGATGGTTCAGGGCAGCCGGTAGGAGAGAAACCATTCACGATGTATTCCTATGCGCGGGTTATAAAGAGGGTGGACGGGACTCTTGTCAGGTAACGGGGCTGATATCGCGCGTCAATGAGAGATAGAATCGCGTGTGGAGCCGTAGGTCAACGTTTGCGAATTAATGCTCAACAGGGCGATTCCGGCGGACCGCTCACGATGTCTGTGGAAGGCAGACACGTTCTAATCGGTTTGGTTTCCTGGGGTATCGGCTGCGGTCGTGAACACCTGCCCGGCGTGTACACCAATATTCAGAAATTCGTGCCGTGGATCGATAAGGTCATGAGCTAAAGCGGAGAAGAGACTGTCTCGTCTCAGTTCCTTCGAAAGTCGGGTCGCTTCGCCCAAGAAGAAAAAGAAGAAGAAGAAGAAAAAGCAGAAGAAGAAAAAGGAGGAGGAGAAGAGGAAGAAGGAGAAAAGAAATGTTTGCGAGAAGAACGACGCGCAGTTACCAAAGTCTTAAGACGTTCTTTAAGAACTCCCCAGCGACCGTGTTCGGTTAATCGACCGTTGTTGAAGAGCAGACACTCACCGTCGAAAACTCGAGGAAACACAACGTTTTGTATACATTATATTCGAAAATGGTAACGAAAGATTAATTAACGGAGCTACGGTGGGTGTATTTTGACGATCAATATTGACGATGGCAGAACAGAGTGCTTATTAAAATACTGAATGGCGATACATAAAAATGTTTAACGCGAGGAACGCTTACGATGGCTCATAAGTTTTGCCGTTGTTATTCGAATCGCAAATAATTTATTGCCTTGCATATTAAAATAGAGACGCGGCTTGTCAGCGAATCTAATGCATTGTTTAAGTATTCGTTCTCAAATTTGATACAACGGATTGCCGAGTCGCGAAATGAAAGAAAATAATGTTGCCACTAATGTCATTGACTTTTGACAATAATGTCTGATATAATGTCTGATTGTATAACGTCTTCTTGATGAATTTAAATAAAGAAATTTTCCCAGGTACGATGAAAAAACGTGCATTTTTATCTTGACAATGTGCGCATGTGTTTATTTGTAACAGATTTTTCGAATTCGGATTTTTTAAAGAGGTGAATTCATACGAAGAGATCTGCTTTCCCGACAAATACAACGGAGCTTTCTTCAACTTCTCTTGGTTACGGACTCGTTACTACTTTGTTGGGTGAAATTTCAACGTCGATAACTTATCTCCTGTTATCGACTACCTGTAAGAATGAACGCCACTTGTCCGTTAATCCGTAAGCATTCTCGTAGGATAATTCCGAATATATTCGAAATTCATTTTCGACAATTACAACAGAGGGATACCACGTGCAATTGCAATACTAGCTAACAATTTCGCGATCCAACTGTTAAGTTTAAACACACAATTCTTTTTATAAATCCGACCCAATCCTTTAAGATATCATTTTTAACGTTTATTTGCACTTCAGAAATTCATTGATTGATTATAAATATTTGAAGAACTGAAAAGTTAGTTAAAAACGAAAAACCAGAAAAAAGAAGCTGATTTCATCAGTAGAGGTAATTGTTAAATCGAGGGACGTTGTGTATGTATTGAAAGTTTGAGACAGAAATAAATTGAAGTGGAAAATTGACATTGAAATTTTCAAATTGAAAAAAATAAAAAAATATATAAATGAATGAAAAATTGAATATTTTTAGTGTCTCAATAAAAATGTGAAACAGATTGTATAATGATTTGTAGGAAATACATACTTTTTTTAAATACAAATTTTTAAATAGTACAGTAGGAAAATAGGTGAAACATGAAAGATTGCAGGTGTCTTAATCGCGAGCCTTTCGCTTGAGAGCGCACTCGCGGATCCGCTCCTGTCCTCAACGAGAGTACAGAAAGAGGACGGGGTTGGGCACGGAGAATGCGCGCGCGAGAAGTGCACCTACCCCGGTGCAGAGGGGTGTCGGGGGCGTCAGGAGGGAGAAAGCGAGAGCAATGGTGGAGGGTAAGTTGCTAATTAGAGCCAGATTAAACGCTTGTCTGGGGAGCCATTTTCCTTGCCGTTCCTCGCCGTGGCCGTAGGAGGATGGCCGGGAGGGGTAAGAGGGGTGGAAAAATGGGGATTGCGGGGGTGGCCGACATTGCGAGAGAAAGGAGTAGGAGGAGGAGAAGGAGGACGAGGAGGAATGAGGCGCCAGGGGGTGAACGACGGAACGCCGACGCCGGCGGGAGGGGCGGGCTTAATGAAAAGTGTTTGCCCCGTAAAAGTTAAGATTAATTGGCGCTCGGGGGGTGGTTACCGCGATAATCAGCCCGAGCCAGTGGTTTTCAAACCCACCCACTGGATCACCGTTCTCCTTTCGGCAGCTGCGATCGGTTACGCGTTGACGACTGCTTCTTCCTGAGCCGTTCGTCGATCGTGTCGATATTTCGCGATGCCGCGTTGCGTCTCGCGGGGGATGAAAAGTACAGTGATTGGGCTGACGAGTTCGCTGCAGCACTCTTTTACGATCTCGCGGAAGATTAACCTTAAGAAAGTATCCGACTGATTCTCCTGGATACTCACGACCGCCAAATAAATTTTCTCCTCAACTTTGACGTTCATATTTTCATCGATATCGCAGCAAATAAAAGAATGAAATGTCGCGCGAGGGGTAAGTCGAATTTTCTTCAACAACCATAAATCTCTATTTTTGTAAAATTCCGCGAATTTTTCTCGATCCTGCAACGTCAAAACGCTTCGATCGAGTTTACGATCTTGTGCCGTCATTCAAACCTGCCCGCTCACGCCGATAATTTCAATCAGAAATACACATTGAAATTTGTATCAGAAGCTCGCCAGAAATAACCGATAAAGCAGCGTTCTATTATCAGTGATAATCACAAGGCGACATAATTAGAGAAATTTAATTACGCGTTTTTCTGCGCGCGGCACCTTCGCTCACGGTTGAGCACAGCTGGAATGGGAGGTTAATTTGGCGACACCTAGTTTCATTAACAACGCCATTAAAAGTAATGGCCGGCGAGGGGGCGAAGTCGGTCGCGAGGCCTCCTAGGGGGTTGGGAGATTCTAATTACGGACTAGGACTTCTCTCCGGAGCGGAGTACGTAAGGCGGGGTGGCGACGGCGGCGGCGGTAACGGCGGGGCGAGCCAGTCGAACGCCACGATGAGGAGGGGGTTGGCGCATCGGGTCGAAAGACGCTATGATATTCGTTAAACGGCATAATTGCACCCTCCGGAGCGGAACTCGCGTAATTGTGCCGGGCCCGACGACGTCGTGAAAAACTTATCGCCGAACTGATTATACGTCTTGCTCGGTGATTATTGAAATCGCGCGATTAATTTCCGCATTTGAAATGATAGCTAGAAGTGAAAACGATGAGAGGGAGGGAGGGAGAGAGAGAGAGAGAGAGAGGGGGAGAGAGAAACAGCACCTTGCGAAATCTCGTCGAGTGAATCTCCAGATCCGATCGTGCGATAAAAGTAATTTAAAACGTTAGACGAACGTTTAATCTTCGTGTGCGTATCATAGCACGCGATAGCTTAATCGGCGTGGTAATAAACGAATAAATAAAAGAGATCAAGAGATTCGTAGAGAGAGAAAAAATCTTGACGATCTTACATAGGTTCTTACAAAGACCATTAGTATTATGTAAGTTTTGTATCCGAGCGGCGAGATAAGAACGATAATAGAACTAATCAAAAGGCGATAATTGCAGGAGCGCGCGCGCGCACAGCTCCGATTGAAAAATCACAAATTGATCGTCCGAGGCTTTATTTGTTGTTATCGCTCCTCGATCTAAAGTGGGACGATGTGCGGTCGATGGCGATGTGATGGGTTATTTATCGTAAATACGGCTCACTTCATGAGCCCATTTGCGCCAATAGAGTAATCGTTTACGACTCGTCCGACGGAGATGGACACAGTGATTCACGCGTATTGTCTTATCGAACTTATTGGACATACACGTAACACGCCACGTTATCTATGTTACTAATCGGGAACAACGCGACCCGAGTGAACGCGTTAGTTGTTAATAAAATTTCGTATAACATGTGGGACGGAGCGCGACGCTTCGCGAGATTATCGCGCGCATGTTGATCAACAACAGATGTATCGATAATTACCATCGTGTCGTCAAACATTATCGAATTGATAAGGAATCGAAGCGTCAAATTGTCCGCAATAAACGCGATCGCGTCTATCGGGGGACGCAGAGCTAAAAGTGGTTCGATCGAGATCGCATCCCTCGAAAATTTACGCGTTAACAAATTTCCCGTGACTTCCCTGATTGGTCCAAGAAGTAGGGGGAATTCCGACAGGCGGAAACTTAATTGACGATTTATCTTGCGATCGTAATATTGCGCTGGCTGACCCCATCGCGCTACGTCAGTCTTTTGCGCATCGTGTCGGCCGATAAAGCACGCGTATTACACGCACGATAGATAATTACGAGTCCGGAACGTCCCATGCTTGCCGAAGGAACGCACGGGAGAGAGTCTTTTATCTCGCCCGATGCCGCTGTTTGCGTAACGTTACATAAAGCATGAAGCGCCACAAAGTAAGTGGTGTCACTTTAGCGACATGTAAGTGAGGGAGGAATTGAAATTAGGCCGATAAACAAGCATCGGACATTCAATAAAGCGCAATTAACGATCTTTACATAAATATAGACGCGCGCGATAAACGGATACGCGACATCAATTAAGATTATCGGCGGCCGGCGATAACCAATCGATACAATGATCCGGCAATCTTATCCCACGGATAACGAGCGAAACGTCTAAATTAAGCGTCAAATCGTTAATTGCTGCCGCGAGAGAGGGAGGCAGAGGAAGGACGAAGACGAAGAAGAGAAAGAGAGGGAACGCGATAACGCGCTGTTGCCACCGTCTATTCATTATTATCGTGAAAGTCGTGAAAGTCAATATGGTCCGGTAATCAATATTATCTCGCGCGATGGAATAGTTTCTAGGACTTTGTACCACTACTCCACGCGTTATTGAGAGTGTCTAAATTCCCATCAAGTGATACTCACGCGATCGTCATTAACATTTCGTGTTGTCGTCGTGCCGTTGTATTAAGGCGTAAAAATACGTTTATTACTGTATTATACTTGATTTGAAAAATATTTCCATTCTAACACTTCAAGAAGATTAATTCGCGTTACTTGAAATCGACGTAGCGCATAAGTGCCGATCAAACGGTTTTATGAGCCCGGATTAGTTTTCGCTCTTACGAACATTATCTTCACGTTATCAGTCCTAGTACCTCTCCGACAATTCTATAAATCTATATTTAACAGGTATTCTCAAATCGTGGATTTTTGTCGGATTCGTTCTCGAATGAAGATACGACGTAGAACGACAGTGGAGGAACTGTCCCCGCTTATCGTGACGGGGCATAATCGGTGGTTAAAAATCGTTTGATGTTTGCTCGGCAGCCAAGGGTGACAGAAGGCTACCTGTGTATACGTGCCAGCGTTCCACAATACGATATACATATGTGTTTACTACCTGCATGGACCCTGATACGTCGCCAGTGGCGTAGAACTCGTAAATGCGAGGATCTACGGAAAATCCGTCGTCAGATTCACGTAGAAATGCAATCTTGAGTCACACGTCTTATCGCAGTAGATATCTCAGAGTACTTAACAAAGTTACTTAGAACAAATTTTTCTCACCTAATAGAGTCACGGTCCTTCTTGGGAACGATAACAGATAGAAAGAATTAGCTTGTGGGAAAAATCAAAATGCTTAAGGAATGGTTGCAATTTAAGATAACAGCAACAACCATAGTTCCTTCTAATTTAAAAATTGGATATTAAATTTCAGATACAAAACATAATTCAATACGTCGTCTGAATGACACCGCGCTCAGTCGGTTTAAAAAATATTGTCCATTGTTTTTTAAAGAGTAAGTAAAATAGGAAGTCCGAAGAACAACTCGGAGAAATCTGAGAGAAATCGAGGTGTCTTCTCCGGCTTCGCCGGCTGTGGAATTTTTTTACGACATAGAATCCAATGCAACATTGATTTCATGAATTTTTCTTTTTGGCAAAATACGAAACATTGTCCAACATCGAGATCAATTTTTAACGAGTTTCCCGAGAAGCGGGTTAAATCAGAATGCCGAAGAAGCGATAACGGGCGCGTCCACGACACTGGAGCGCGCGCGATAGCATTACGGGAGTACGTAGAAACGTATCGAGAGGCGAGCGAAAACGAGTATCCCGTGAGTGTGCTGGACGTGCCTCGGCCCTTAAGCAAACACTCTTTCGTCTCTTATTTGGCTACATACGGGCAAACGAGGAGAGCGGACCATTTACCTTCCAGTTCCATCGTGTTCGTAGTATCACGAGCGCACCGGGTGACCATCGGTGATCCATCATTTTTCGTCCGCTGGACGCCTCGAGTATCTTCCACGCGCTAAGTGCCGCCAACGCGCGGACGCGTCGCGTTGTTATTACTTATTCGTATCGGCAAACTGTTCGTTCATGCACGAATCCTAATCTCGTATGAATATGAATGCTACGGGTGAATCCCAAACATCCATTAGCTCGTTAAAAATAGTACTTCGGGAAAGAGTGTAAAGAGAGCTAGAAGGGAGTAACATGAGGCGACATAAAATTAGGAGACAACCAGATTTCGTCCTTCTTTCAAAACAGCAGAGAAATATCGAATGTGTGCGCGTGTGACTGTATCATTTGTGCATACTTACTGACGTAAGTATTTGATTTTAGAACACGCCGAGAGACGCTTCATTCCGATTGTCGAAGTCACTTTACCTTCGCGTTGGCGATCGGAAGGAGTGTCCCGGGGAGCGGTTGGAAGAATATTTTCACGCGCGACAATTGTCACCCTGCTGATAACCAAATACGCTCGGCCGATATCAGAAACGGCAGATAAGGGGAACGATTACTATCGAACGGGGTGTGATACCTATTACGCGACTATTAGGTGCCCGATAACGCGACACATATTATTGATACTTTATTGCGCGATGTTATCTGCGGATGTCCACCACTACGCATATCTCGAGCGTCGATTACACATTTTCCAGATAATCAGATGCTATAATTTGTCCGAATGACTTGCAACCGTCGTTAACGATAAGAACGTGTTTTCACTGCGAAACGGATATTCGAGTGTCCGAAAAGTTTGCGCTTCGAGAATCCGCGCTTCGCTTTGCACGCGGAAGATTAGTCCACGCTTATCCGTGAACGGAGAATACGAATACAACAGGGAGGAGACCGTCGTCGTGGGATAAGAATATTAGTTTGGGAAGAGCCGCAACAAGGAAGAGGCTCGCCGGCAATCCTCGAGTTCGACCTCGGGTAATTCGGGCGGTTAAGCTTCCGGAAGATATTCCGATCGGGAAGGAAGTTTGATTGAACGGCGGCGGGACGTATCGGAACTCTCGGATAATTTGCTCCCTAATCCGGAACGCAACTTCTACTCTACTTTGTACGTACCGTCTTCGCCGGTAGCGCGCGAGACAAATTGAAAAGCGCAATTTCGCATTAAGGGGAGATCGCGTTGCGGATCATCCTCACGAAGAGATTGCGATTTCGGGGAGCGTCGTTCCCCTTCGGTGACCGATCCGGGCGATATCGTCGCGTTCTTCCGGCCGAGCGAATCAGCCTCGGTAAGCTGGCGATCGGACTTGAGTCACGGTTAAATTAACGACGCGATAATATCGATTACAATGCTGTCGGTATCCCCCGTCGTCGCACGCGGACACGAAGAATCCCCCAAGAAGACCCCGCTGAATCGTCCATCCGCTCGCCGCATCTTCACACGCCTCTCCTTCCGACTTCCGGCGGTCACGTGGCGAGCCACCGTGCGGCAGCCGTCCGATTGGTCGTCGTCGGGGTGAGAGTTCGGGGGTGGCATCGCGTTATCCTCGTTATACCCGACGATGGCGCCTGATTCCCTCTGATTCTCGCCAACGTGCCACGCAGCGATCGTGGGTGTAGCTTGGATACGCCCGGCCTGTCGGTGGGCTTGGCCAAGCCAGCTGCAGCGTTCCTACCGAGTAGGGGAAGCCTTTTCGGCGGACACGCGGTCATCCGCGACGTCACTTTGCGACGCGACGCCGAACCGCTCGCTCGTGCCGTCGGCTTCTTCGCGCTGGGATCGTGATACACGTAATAATAATTGCGCGATCGGCCGGTTTGTCGATATCAATCCGATAGCATGATCGACCTATGATTCGGCGCTTACCGATCGCACCCTGATGACATCCGCGTGACGCTCGACGAGCTCCGAGAGCAGTCTGACGTTTACACTGGCGCAACCGCGTCGCTAAATCGATCGGACAGAAGTCGGATCGCAATTAGGTCAGTGTCGGCTTTGGAAATCACGCCGGTGACGTCTCCGTCGCGCGATCGATCGCCGCTCGTCATCTCGGAAAAGGAACGCGTCCAGACTCGCGATTCGTCAGTGTTGGTCACGGAGATTACCGCAGCGATCAAGTGGACGAGAGAGTATCTAGATTCAGCTAAGGTGGCCGTTAACACCGATCAGTGTCGATCACGGAGAGCATCTTAGCGGAAAGCATGTGTTAGAGACACCCACAGTGGCCGCGAGGACATGGCAGCAATGCATTACAACGCGCAGATGGTCTCGGAGGAGCTGCATCCGCGACACCTCTACGGCCTCCAGCAGAGACTGCAGGATCCCGGCTCGTCGCCGCGATCGGAGGACGCGCGATCCCCCCTGGAGAGTCGCGTGAGGTCCCTCGAGGAAATGCGTTTCGTAGGCGGCCGGTCGCCGGACGTGGAGGACCGGGTGGTGAGATACCACGAGGACGCGGGGGGCAAGAGAGGCTTCCCCAAGGAACACACGGCCTCCGGCTTCTTCCAGGACCCGGAGAATGCGACTGGGAAGTGCTTCGGCGACGAGCTGACGGCGAGTCGCTGCCGCGAGCCGGAAACTTCGCCCGGCAGGACGTCCTCGCCGCAGAGCTACATCCTCAGCTCGCCCAGCCAACACAGCGGCTCCATCGGCAAGACGTCCTTCTGCATCGACGCGCTGTTAGGGCGCGCCGCCAGCAAGCAGAGCGATCAGTCGGCGAGCGATCGGCAGAAGACCTTCAGGAGCCACGTTGCGGACGGGCTGAACCTCAGCGGTGTCCAAGGAGGAGAATCCCCGGGCGCCGGGGTGAGGTGCTCCACGGAGCAAAGGACCCCCTCCTCCTTGGGCAACCCTCTGCATCCCTTCGTCCAACATCACGGTTCCGACTCGCCGGGTCTCGAGACGCGCGAGAGACATTCCACGAGTCGCGAGGCCGTCCTCCACCACGGCGACACCGGCGTGTCGGTGCAGCGCGGCCAGTTCAGGCCCGAGACGGGGCCCAGCGGCTATCGGAACGTCGACCGACTGGAGAATGTCGAGGACGACACGTCCGTCGACGTGGACCCGACGCGAACCGGAAGTGCCAGTCCCGGCAGCAACGCGAGTCGCAGTCCCGCCTCCAGTCCCCCCATTTCTCCCGGCTCGGAGGACCCCACGAGCAACGGGGTCCTCGGCCATCAGAGTCTCGCGTCCGGGCCCTACGGAGTGGGCGCGGCGGTGGTCAGACAGAATCAAGGCCTTCTACTGCATCCCGCGGGTCCACTTATCCATCCCGGCGGACTGTACTATCATCCGGCCGGCGGCAGCGCCTTTCACTCGATACACAAGGAGGGTCAACCGGTCGGCCATCCCCAATCCGGCGGGCCTCATCCACAGCAACATCACATCCATCCACTTCAGCTCGAGTGGCTCGCCCGGACCGGCATGCTGTATCCGAGACTGCCCGCGGATTTGGCCGGTGAGTGAGCCAGCGATGGCCGTTTCTCATCTTTTTTTCTCATTTCTTCACCCGCCGATATATGATGTCATCGTGATATTATTGTTGAGATGTGAACGTAAATTTCTCGGTGTAATTTTAAATCGTTCCTTCGAGTACTCGTATCGCGCGATTTTACTCATCTGCTGTTTTGAATATTTTTCGTAATATCTCAATTTGCTTAATCGTGTCTCTTGTTTCAATCCCCGGCAAATCAATAATGTAAACTAAAGAGTTTCTCTATTCTCATAAATAAAGACTTATGATTATAAAAATTTATTATTATTTGTAATTGTTATTATTACGCCAATTTGGGATATGTCGCCGAATCGTTTAGAATAATATTGTCCATAATATTTAAATCAAGATTTCGTTTTATCTCTTAATCCTTCCTTTCTCTCTATATCTCTCGCCATCTTTTAATTATTTTAGATCAATTAATGAAATAACAAGTCTTAAAGAATGTACACACAGAAATGTGTTTGGAGTATGTCTGGATGAGCTATAAATTTAACATGATATAAACAATGCCAGATTACACGTTACGTCATTTCCTAACAAAAACATCAATCACGCATCGAAGTGCTTATCAATCAAAAACGAAACGCCGATGCACGAGTAATTAATCAAGAGTAATATAGTTAAGATCGCCGCGTCGACGTATAATACATGCTGTTAATCGTGCTGATGAAAATCGCAACGATTATCGCCGTTAAAAGGTGGCACGTATCGCATCCCGTTGTTTCGAGTTAAAATATCGTTCGTATGGGCTTTTGAACAAAATATGCTCTAAGCCGATAATAATACTATATTATGTATTTTAAGTAGCCAAATGCGCTTAATTATATTACAACGTGATATAATTTTTTAGACTTTTTCTCTCATGTGACAAAATATAAAAAATATAAAATATATATTTATGTTTTATATATTTAGTATATATTATATTTCTGTAAAATGAAATTTCATACAAAATACTTTTGGGAAATCTTGAAAGTAAAAAGTAACTTCCCTTCTTCTCCTAAATAATGAGTCATACATCGAATGCCGCTTACGAGGAAAACGCGTAAATCGAGCAATTAATTAAGATCGTCCGTCCGATTTGCGCATGGCCGCGCGACTTTTATCACAATCGAGAACAAAATCGCAAACGCGAGACACGTTGTATTGTAGGATCTCGCGATCGTAAAAGGCGATCCGACCTTCGCGCTCGAGTTGTTAATCCTCTTTCAATGCCTGATAAATTAGTGATTTGATAATAATTTGCGAGGAAATCGAGCGCAGCCGATAACGGTCATTAAAGCCGATAACGATCTTCATAAATTGTCCTTCCCTAAGCCGCCAGTGATGCTCTCTATGCCGATCCCAGAAAGAAAAATATGTCGATTGCGACGTTATCGCCGGTCGAAGATCTACAAATAAATAGCGCGCGAGATAGCGGACTGACATCTAATTAAAAAGATCGCACGGAATAAACTTCGAAATGAGACATAATTTCAGAAAAATATCGATCATCCGATTTCACGAAAAATTTCACAAAAACATAAACAGATAACGAAGAGTTATTTTTACTACGGTGGACTTCAAGAGGATTTATTTTAGAGAAAATTTAATTTGCGGCTGGATAATTAATGAACGCCGGTTGTTAATCACCGTTTGTGTCCGTAAAAGAGTTCTCACGAAAAATAGGAAGGATCCCAGCTCCGTCGAAAAATTCAAGGGACAAAGAGAGAGGGGAGAGAGAGAGGGAGAGAGAGAGACGCGTACTGCGCAAAATCGCAGTCCCTCGCGTGAGTGAAGTGGATCGTCGCGCGATATCGTCGATCGACGGTAACTCATGCGTGGGAGTTCGTGTGTTATGTTAGCTCTCGACGGCTATTACCAGCTATTAACTCGAAAGTGAGGCAACGTCGAAAGACAGATTGCCGCTGCGCGATGAGCAGATAGTACATGTTTACGTGTCTAATGTACCGCGCGGACAGACCATATTGGCCGGTTACTCAAATTTTACGATCTCGATAACGGCGACGCTCCTCCGCTCGCTTTTCCGCACGCTCGCCCCGCGGATCCCCTTTCCAAACAAATATTTAACACACAGTATTCTGATAGTATCACATAAATAAACGCCAAAACTGGGGGCAAATTTTATTATTAACTTTTGTTTTCACGCGAATGGAGCGTCAGGAAAAATGTTTTTATATTCTTCTCTTCTAGTAGAAATACGCTTTTTCTTTCATTTTTAAACCTCGCGTCGCGCTCACTTGACTGAATATTTCAAATGAAAATCCCCACTCCTCCCCATGGACCTTGCCGAACCCGATAGAGCGAGATCTTTCAGCTCAACACCCCTCTTCATCCTCTCGAGGAGATCGAGAGAGGTCCGACCGCACCTTTCGATTCGGTCGCTTCTTCCTCGCGGAATCTGCGCTCGCGTGGAAGAAGGACTGCATCGCCGGCAACTAATTCACGCGAGCCCCGCCACGAATCACAAGAGGTGTCTCGAAAATCCAAAGGAGGAATCGACGAAAGTGGGAGGGAAGAAAAGGCCGCTAAGTGGCGGCGGAGAAACTTGAAAGGCAGAGAGCGAGGGGTCACAGGGCAGGGGGCTGGAGGTACAACAAGGGACTTGGTTACCACGGTAAATTTCACGCTCGGAAAAAAGAGCCGTGGCCGCGTTGTCAGGCCAATCAGTCGAGGGCTTTTATCGAACAAATTGGTCAGTGAACGTATGGCGGCGGCGGCGGCGGATATCCCGGGCCAGGGGGGGCGGGGGGAAGGACGGCAGGAATGAGAGGTGGACAGCTGGCGGGGACGGCGGGGACGCCGCGGACACAAGTGGCGAACGGTGGCGGGTGCGCGGGGTATTTCCTGTCAGATGATCCTGATTGGTAGTTGCCGAGCAATCCAGCGTCGACCAAAAAAGGCGAAAAAGTCGAGCGGTGGCGTAAAACAAGCGCAAAAAAAAACGGCAAACGACAAAAAAAGAGGGACAGAGAGCGAGAAAGAGAGAGAGAACTCGGGAGCGCGCGCGCGTGGCACGAAATAAAACGCGCGGCGAATAACATCGAGGCACCTCTACCGCCCCGCAGCCACCCCCGCACGCTCCACGGAGGCCATCGCCGGTGGGGTACACGGCTCGACTTGTTAAAAATTGGCGGCGGCCGCTCGGACCACCCTCCCCGCGCGACGCTCTGTAAATAACGCGCGGAATAACGGGGGAGGGCAGCGACGACGGGAGGGGGTGCGCGAGAGCTTTTATTTGCGGAATATTTGTCGCGCGTTATGCCCGCGCTCGGCGACGCTACGACAACACCATGTTTCATCTATCCCGTAACGGCGTATCGAAATTTAACTAGTGCGCTACAAACCGGGCTGTGCACGTGTCCGGGGGCCCGCTCTCGCGTATGGTATCGCAGCCGCCCACCGCCTCGCGCGCCCCAAACCCCCGCGTCACCCTGGCCGCGGATAGTTATCCATATCGCGTTACGAACGGATGGCCCGCACCGCGGCCGCTCTAATTAGCGCGGTTCTGCGGCCATCGATTGCCACCGCCGCTGCTGCCGGAATGGCCATCGGAATGGCAAAACATCGTCGTTGCTGTTATCGCCGGAATTATACGAGGGTGGTGAGACCGGAAGGATGTTCCAAGAGAGACAAAGAGATGATAATCGTTTGATAATATCGCATTGAGGTTGAGTAGAGGCCGAGGTAACGTTTTGGTCGTATGGTTCGCGACTGCTAAATCTGCCCGAGAGTTCCGCGAGTAAAAGCGCACCCTTCCTCTCGGAGGAAAAGAACATGAACGGGATCCAAAGGGTGAACGGACTCAGCTCGCATTTCTGCTTGCGTTTCGCGTTTGCGTCATTGAAATCTGCATTAGCGGGATAAATCATAAATTAGCATTATGTTAATATATTTCGCTCGCAGCGGGAGAAGCGGCGTCACAGCGCATTCGCCGTTTTTTGCCACCCGCCATTGCTGCGTGTCCTACGCGTCTCTCGCGCGCGCGTTCCACATTTTTCAGCCGGCGTATGTATACGTCAATCAGCAACGATCTGCACTAGCCGATAGTTGGCTTTTGGATTAGCGTGTGAAACACGTCATCGATTTTCCGACAGCGACAATCACACACACACAAACACGCATGCACGTACACAGGGACAGTCGCGCCGGCGATGATTAATCGTTCGCGCGAGTTGAAGTGCAATTGTAATAATTACTGTCCCCGGCACGCCGGCCGAAGAAATAAATTATTCATCGCGAATTTATGGCTTTTTACATGATATGCGCGCGCTGAGAAAATCCTTAAGCGTTTTAACAATATTAATTGCCGGTATCGATGTCAACGGCAAATACATAAATAATCACGGAGGGCGCGATAAATCTCGCATACGATAAAACTGGCGGCACGTGACTTTTATTCTCAGCGTTGCTTTACATATTTTGCCGGTGATTTAATGACGGCGAATGTTTAATTTGGCGATTATGGAAATGCAAAATTTCCGCGCTCCGCCGTTTTATTTCACGGGAGTGCCCGGCCGCTTCTTATTTTGCAGCGTCACAGCGCTCATTACGTGAAAATTTTTAATGAAGGCTACCTGCGGAATTTACAATTACGAGTGTTATACGTGACTACGCGAGTGTAAACACGCGTGTAAAATAATGTTCACCTCGACTATCTCTTTTACAGTAGGGCCATACTGTAAAACTGTCGTACTATGGTACGTCGCCCGTGCGAACGATACGATCGCCACGCGTCAACGTTCTCCCTGCCACCCTACGCAAAATCCTCCTGTCGCGAAAATGTTAATCAAGTTACGAATTTCTTCCTCTCTCTCTCTCTCTCTCTCTAATGGCCGATGGTCCGTGAAGGTATTTTTTCAACTTAATGGGAGGGCTCTTAGCAGAGGGAGCGCAAACGAAGTTAAGGACGGTATTATTTGTCGAGGGTGTCGAGGAAAAAGTGGCGTCACCGTTTCTTT